CATATTTACATGTTTAGAAGTATTCATTTTAAGTGATCCCAGGAAAGAATTTGTATTGACTCAAGAATAAGCTTTAAATTTTAACACTATGTACAAAGGGGGGAGCCGCGGCTCCCACGGCTCCCCCACCCCTTGATACGTCCCTGACAGTAGGCCTAAGTTAAGTCTTATGAGGCTTATGAAAATTGGGCTTTTTTGACAGTATTTGTACCCAAGATGTTAAAATGAACTAAATCGTTTAACTGCGTTCTTTATTGTGGACATGGGCCATAGTGCACACGAGTTGAAACACAAGAAGACTGGGGAAAAAATTAAACCGGTTAAGGGCACACGCATTGGCTTCTAACTGTTTTGCCAACTTTACTAAAGCTCCACGACTATTTCTTTAAATAAATACTGTACTTTAATTAATGGTATTTGTTTGGCTATTAACTATAGCAGGACACTTTCCATTGTATTTACGTTTTTGTTCAGTAGGGTAGTCCTCTTATTAAGAACCCTGCTCTTCCGGGGCCATACGACACGTTAAACATTACAATAGAAAAAATATATATAACTAAAAAAAAAACATAACTATTCTTTTTTATTTATTTACTTATTCAGGTATAGAACTTCAAAAAAGTGGTTCGAACTATGAGACCTAGTCACTTGATTATAATGGAGGGAGGAAATCTGTCAACATGTCAGACTTCAACAAACTTTCCCCAAAATACAAAACTATAATATTTTTCTTCTTGTCACAAGGGTAATTGATAATCCTGTAACAGAGAGGGCATGGTCGTAGTGCAAATAATTGCATCGTAAAAGCATACGAAAAGCTCTCTTTTGTACCCTTTCAATGGACTAAGACATGCGTTAATATGTAATAGCACCATGCCACACAGAGGTAGCATACTCCAAAATAAGCCTTATGTAGGCCGCATAGGCAGATAAAAGGTCAACAGTTGAAATATTAGCTTTCTTCAGGATGCAAGAAGTTCTGTTTAAACAACACTCAATACTGATATATAAGATGCATTTTAAATTGTTTTAATTTTGTTGTCTTAAATCATACGGCAAACTGTTCCAGAGTGAATTTCCATAATATATGAAACAATGTTTGTATTTTAAGTTAAAATTTTGGTACTTTCTGGTTGGAATATTTGTGTACGCTACCAGTGTATTGCAAAATATCACATAGGCATGATGGTACAGATGTAAACATCTAAATATTGTGCATACTGTTTAATATTCAATTCTTATTTCAATAGTTACCTATCCTATTGTCATACAGGAGTTCTACTATCAGCGCCAATTGTTAGTTTCACAACTTAATTCTGAACTCGTTGTACCTCTAAAGTAAAAGCCTTTGAACCAGTACCCCAGACAGTTTCACAGTCAACACATGGTATAAAAATAGAGCATTGTTTAATAATTTCACCTGTTTTAATCAGTAAAATAGATGTAGAATCTCTGATAGTATTGTACATATATTATCAATAATACTTTCCTTGTAAATGTTTCATCGAAAGTTACATACCAAGTACTTAAATGTTTGGACTTTCTCAATCGTGTCAGCTGGTTCTGGTGTGTAAAACCGACCACCTAACGACTCCAAAATTAGGAGTATAACNCAAAAGTATATTATATTATATTATATTATATTATATTATATTATATATATATATATATATATATATATATATTGATGAATACAATATTGATATAATTGTATATAAGGCAAAGGCCTCTTACGGTCGAATGACTATACATTGATTACTATTTGTCCAATAGATCTATATGTAAATCTCAGCACTGTATACGTGTGAGTGATATCCATTAGTGTAACCAGGTATATTCCTATACATGTTTATGTGTTATATGTGGGTGTGGATATATTACCTGATATATAAACAAATTTTATTACTCACCTACTGCACTATTCAGGAAAATTTGGCTGCCCTGTTCACCTCTCTGCCTTCGTATACGATACGAGGCCAGAGAAGTGAACAGGGCTCCGGGGAATGGAGCCGCAATATCCTGAATAGTGCAGTAATAAGGTGAGTAATAAAATTTGTTCATGTACTTATTGTTATTACCACTACCACGGACACCAAATCAATAACGTTAGGAGGGTCGGAAAGGCTAAAAATAAACAATATAAAACAGTGTTATAACAACTTAATGGAAATTTAGTCATTGTCGGCTCGTAATATTGATAACAACATTATTTAGACGCATCTATACAATGGAGGGCTCTAATTGAGCGAAATTATGAATCAATTGCAGACAATGTTGTATGCGATTAATTGGACGTAAGTTATAAAGCCGACCACAAATGGAGAAATAAGTTGAGTGATGTTGCTTATAAAGGCTCCATATCCTTGACGACAGGGGGTTTCCCGCGTAACAAATTAATTTATACGTGCATACCTACCATATGTACCTAGCTTTATCTGTGTTTAGAGTTAATTTATGTTTATCTAGCCACTGCTCTTTTCTGAATTGTTTCATAATACTGTTGTAAGTTCTTTATTGGAGTTGCAGGCATAAAAAAAAAAACTACAATGTCGTCTGCATAGAGTACGGTTTTACATGTCCCATAAACACAATCCTGCAAGCTATTTATGTATAATAAACAGTAAGGGGTTAATAATTAAGCCTTGGAGTACCCCACAGTTGATATTTAAAGATTGAGATTGTTTGCCAATGAAATTAACAAATTGTTTACGATTTGATATGTAATCACTAGACAATGTAAGTTTGGTGTTCATAATTCCAATAAAGTGTAATTTATGTAATAAAATATCGTGGTCTACAGTATCAAACTCATTTTGTAGGTCAACAAAATTACTGTCATTATCATTATTCTTGTAATTATAATTGCAGATATCTATCAATGCAGTAGACGTTGAATGGAACAATCTGAAACCAGACTGAGTTTTAAGAATATCAAAATCATTAATATGATTCATATTTTGATTATGTATGCATCTTTCAAAAACTTACATAACAATTGGCATCACATATATTGGAGGATAGTTGTTAAGCTCATGTTTACAACCTTCTATGTAAAGCAAAACAATCTTAGCAAATACTGAGAATTTGTGGAGATGCAAGAAGTAATTTAGCGGAAATCCCATCAACTCATGTAGATTTTCTATATTTTTCAAAATAAAACTTCAATATCATTTGCTTATCGGCCTATCTTTAAATTTAAAACGTTCTTGAAAATCTAGCACAGATTCATTGACATTTTTGCCTTGATTTTCTTTAAAATGTGACGCAAGTTCACATGAAATTGAAGAAAAATATTTATTAAAGTGGTTAGCAATATCTTTTGGATTGTATTTCATTACCGTTTACGTTAAGAGTTGTTTCTGTTTCCTGCTTTTAATGGGTAGGTATTCGTTCATAGTTTTTCATAATGTTTTGTTGTCATTTACATTTGCTCTAATCTATTGATTATGTAGTCATACTTTAATGACTTTGACAAATTATTCAGTTTATTCCTAGCTTTTTTGTAAGAGTCCCAATCATCCACGCTTTTCATTTTTCTGCTTTCTGTTTTAAGTAATTACGATCACGAGGAAGGGATGGAGGGTCTATACCAAGAAAACTTACGATTATGTCACCTCTAGAAGACCGGAAATGTCACTCTCAAATTTACAATTTGAATGTACTGTAATTTTCTTTTTTTTTTCTCTCCAATAATTTTACAATTTTACAAAATTTAGGGGGGTGAGGGGCGGGCAGGCTGGTGATAGCCGACTTATTGTCTAGAAGAATGTACTTCCCAGCAAACACAAAACGTTCTTTTAACGGTTCGCGAACGTTGTGGTTAGGAATGTCACAAAATAACGTTTACACAACGTTGTAAGAACGTTCAAACGTTGTGAGGTTGTGAAATTAGGTTATAAATACGTACATATGGTTCTACAAAATAACGTTTTTATCACCAAACTGTAACGTTATTATAACGTTCTTAGAACGTAATATTTTTAGCTGGGTTAGGCCTATCCATGTTCAGTTCATGACCAGTGCTGAACGTTGAGGTACATTAGAGACTTATTTGGTTTACTATTTGTTATCATGACTCTACAAAACGAATGTTGCTTGAAAAAAATTACTAATGTGGATTTTCTTTACCTGTAGTGCATGAGTGTAACAACCAATTATCAAGGCAACCGCCATTACATCCAGTTTCCAAATGACATGAGGTAGAATTACAATTGCATGTAGAAGCACAGTAGTAGCCATAGTTTCCAGATTGACAGGCTTAAAAAAAATAATGAAACATTTCTATACATACTAAGAAGTAGGACCATTATTGAAATAACTTGTCTCTGAAAAAACAGAATTTACTTGAATCAAAGGGACGGACAGTCTATTTTCACTGTGTGTGTTCAATTAGAAAAATGGAAATACTCTAAGTAAGTTATCCAGATAAATATTTACGATAGACAACACTTAAAAAGCAAAAAATAGTAGGGGTTGTATGACCAATTTAAATAAACTTGGACCCAGTACCCTGAGGGCTTGCGACTTTTAATGTCCACACAACAGGTAAATATATATTAAGTTTCATCAAAGCTAAGTATTTTTTTGTAAGGGTCAAGTTAAATAGTGTATTCATTATTGAACGTATAGGGGAATGAACTGTTATTTGCCTCGGTATTGTGTGGTAGGGTGGCCAATTTCTTTCTACGCCGCCTTTATTCCTCCTCAGTAGTGAACCACCGGGTACCCATTTATACTCCTGGGTCGAGACACACTTAGGTAAAGAGTCTTGTGCAAAAACAAAAGCGAAATGCACAGAGAAGGTGGTTGAAAAACAGAAACGCAACCGCTGCGCCAACTGCTCCCACTCCTGCCTATTTTGTAAAGGGGAGATGTACAAATTTTGCCATTTCGGAGAATAAAATAATGTTAATTTGTTTTTATACTTATTGTAGCTGCAAACATTTTTTTGCCTCTGCAAATTTACCTAAGAATTGCTGATGAATAATGCACTGGTTCGAGACAAGACAATACATAAAGGAGCATGGTGCATGTGATCAGTGGCGGATTCAGGAATAAATTCGACTTTCACAGACAAAGGGTCTATACCACCTCAGCCACACCATGGTTAGGGCTGAAGTTTGAAAATGTATGATTAAGGCCACATTTCGTTGGCCAAAAATGTCACTCTTAAGCTCAAAATTTGAATATAATTTTTTTTTTAATTCTTTAAAAATTTTGAAACTTTTAAGGATGTTGCGGCTGGCCCCTATTGACCCCGCCACTAGGAGTGGGAAAAGATGGGGTAGTCAAAATGCAGTTGGCTGTTACGAGACGAGACGTTTGGTAAAACCAGGGTCCGCTCATGTTGTACTGGATGTGAGTGTGGAACACTGGAATTTAATAGGTGTGGTTTGGGGAGGTAAAATTTATAAAGATGGTGGGGACACGACCATCCTCAATTTTCTGCAGAATTTAGGACACGGACGCAGGTTAGGGAGGCATCCATGCTTATTGTATAGACCACGTATTGTCACAATTTAAAAGTAGGCGCACATTTTGTGACAGAACATGTAGTGTGATAGCCGAGCACTTGGAAATACACTTGGAAAACCTGTTAACACTTATCAAGTCCGAAATTAGATTAAAAGCAAATTAATTCAAAATCCACGTGACGTATGCTAAATTCTTTATCTGATCTGAGCAAATCAGGGTGTAAGCAGAGAATGCAGGACGGGTATTGCATTTACGCCACGTCATCAAAGTAACGACACAACAATTTTAATAATTTTTATCTTGGCCTAATAATAATAATATTAATAATAATAATTACAATGTTTGGCTACGTAAAAATATAGTGTTTGAAAATTATTTTTTATACATTCCACCTTTTCCTGTACTTACATTCACAATACAAATTGTCATATGTACGGTATCCTTTTGCACACAGTCCATTACTACATACACCAGTATTCCTATCACATTCAACATTATCACGGCAATGGCAAATTGATGTACACGATGTGCCAAAATAGCCAACAGGACAAGTGCTTGGAACTGCAAAAAGGAAAAATAGGAAATCCATAACACAAACAGTTGCGATGAAAAATAACACCACATGGACAAATTGTTCAATATTAACTTTAAACTATTAGAATACAAGGCCTATAATACAAGGTTCATGAGACAATTATAGTATACAAAACAGACTACGTTTTAAAAAAACCCACGTTTTAAAAGAAATGGCATACATGGTGCAAAACATCCTTGCAGCAGCAGAAAAGACTAATTTCTGCTGTGTTTTTTATATAATATGGTAACTCTTATTTTATATAATATATATTTTTATATATTTGATATGGCAGCACAAATAATTTTTTAAAGATATTATATATGGTATCATACTTTATTTTTAAATGCTCTTTTGTACTGAGAATTGTTAATAAGTAATTTAGCTTTAAATGTTTTGACAATAACGTGGGATGAATAGAGACAACTTTATCTGAAATATGTTTTCAAAGCAGTGATATTTAAAAAGATATGCATAATTGCCTTAATAGTATACATGCATTAACAATTAAATTAACAGTAGTTGTGGAGTGGTTGTTTTTTTTTAAAATACTCACGGCAGTTTCATAATGAAAGATTGATATCCTATGATAATGTTATATCTTCACTGATTACAGTACAACTTACATGGTAGGCCTACGGTACACTAACATAATATACCAAGCTGTTACTTAGACATACCGTACATCGTAATGTTTATCTATGTATTATTTATACTAAGAAAACTGGTGTTAAGTTACTGCTCTCCCATAAAGAGCACAGCTATGATTTTTATCTTGCCATAATGAGGTAAAACTGTCTTTATTTTTAATGAAATTATCCATGTTTTTAAAAGTTCTACCATGTATTTCCCAATAAAAAAAGAAACCTTGCACTAAACAAAGACAAATTGCATGAAAATTAATTAAAGAGAGATGATAAGTTAAATTTTAAAAACGATTTTACCGTAAAAGGACTCAAATTATTATAAACAAAAAAGCTAAAAAAGGTAAAAAAAAAAAATACAAAACAGAAAATTACAAGCTATCACAATGATATTATACTTTTACTATAAAAAATGTTATTTTTAAAACGCTACCTTGACAGTTACTTCCAGACCATCCAGATGCACAACCACCGGTACCGTTACACACTCCAGTATACTGGTTACAGAATCCTGACGTACAGTGGCATTCCTCACTACAACCCGCACCAAAATTGCCAGAATCACATTCTAATATTGGAAGGAAGTATTAAAGGATTATGTCAGTTGAATGAAGTAATTTAATGGAAGAACACCTTGTGCATTCTTAACTATATATAATTTATATTAAAAACAATCTTTATTATGGAGAATAACCCATATTCGCAACGTCATTGTGCTAAATCACCACCGTACTGATGTGCTAATAGGAGTTTCAAGTTCACATCATTCCACAAAGACAATGTCTAAAATTAACCATAGTTTCGAGGAACTCCCTACTTCCAACGTTAGTAAGTTCTGGACTTTAAGTTCTTATCCGAGAAGATTAGTAATTCAACCAAACCTTGAGCAAAGAGTGGCTTTAACCAGCGTCTATGCTAGAGCTGTAGTTAGCGGAAAAACATAATCTGTACAATTACTGTACATAATCTGCATAGCTGCACGTTAGTAGCCACGGTTCCCCCATGAACCTAATCCGAATTTTCTACTTGCGTTTTAACAAAGTATTGATTAAATTTAAAGTTGCACATTCATATTTACATTATCTGTATATAAGCACATTCATGGTAGTCATGGCAGAAACGTCCTCGTCGAGGTCCTGGATAACGCTAATTCTACCGCAACCACACCCAAGATCAAGTCAACATCTACTTAGATTATTTTCATCATGTCATCTGATGGACATGGTAGCGTACAATGATTGTGCTAGAAACTGTGACCAGTTCCAGCTGAAACAAAGTATTTAGCAAGTGTGTGGAGACGACAAGAAGAAGACCACAGTCAATCTGTATTTATCTATATAGTATATGCACCAAGATATCGAGTACATTTGGAAAATATAAGCATCATAATTCAATTAAAAAAAACCACAAAGACAATTTCCGTAGAATAAAATATATTTTCATATCTATTATATGCACATTTATATAGCGAACTTTTCTATTTTTGGTCAAAAAATATACTTTTGCTCCCCATGGATATTGGTTAGATAATTAATCAGCACAAATTAACACAATTAATTCCAAATTAATGAATTTTAGCCATTTACCCATTTATAATTTTGGGTGAAGATAGACAATGTCTTGCCCAAGGACACAAGCAGTGTCACCATATCAGACTCAGACTCACGATGTCTATATTGAATGTTTTGTACCATATGCCCCTACAGATAACTACATGATCAGTTAGGCCTACATGAAACGTAGATTTACCTGTTAAGCAATCAAGGCCAGTAAAACCTGTTATACAGGTACATCCATATGGATCAGGAAAACAGAATTGATGACTTCTGCAAGTGTTTTCGAAATTACGATTGAATGTACATCTAATTTCACAGTCAAGTCCGAATCGATTGCCACCACAAGCTATATTGAAAAAAAAATTCAACAACTTATCAGTGAATATATTTATTTTTATTTATTGATAATATCATAAAACAAAAAAAATATTATTAAAGGTAGATATGAAATACCGAAACAACTCGTTTTGACTTACTATCTTCACAGCTTTCTCCTTTAAACCCTGGTGCACAAATACAGTTACCTGTCTTGTCATCGCATACGCCACCATTATAACAATTGTTACAAATACCTGTACATCCAGGTGCACCCCAGCGGCCAGTTGGACATTCTGAATAAAATATTTTTTTAGCCTATTAATAAAATGCCTTTAGGTTTTAACTTTATAAGAAGTAAATAGGGAGGTTGGAAACATCTAACACTGACTATTATTTTAAAAAGGAGAAAGGATTAAGAGTCTACATGTTATTCATTCAAAATGTGTTAAGATGTACACTCTAAACTGACGCCATTATTGTTGAAGGTTTTAAACAATGGGATCCCAAATACCTCTTGTAAATCCTAGACTACCAGAGTTAGCAGCACTGGCCATTTTGAAGAGGTACAGTATGCATATAGAGCTTAGGAAAGCTAAACATCACTTACTACAAAAATGTTCTGTCTACAGAATTATGAGCTGTAGTCTTATCCCCTGGATCCGCTCTTGTAATTTTAAAATTGTAATGTTGTTATGAAATGTGCATATTGATCCACTTGTTATTTTCCACCAGAATGAAGAAGTATTTTAAACATTTATTCAAGTACCTAAAAGTAATAACCAACCTCTCACAATCAGTTCAATAAATGAATGTTTGTATTCATCCCTTTGTCCATCTATGTAAAGTTCATACATGCCGCCATCATCAACTTTTACACTAGTAAAACTTAAGCTTGAATCATCATAAAGGCTCTCATAATTATCCAGCAGTTCACCATCTTTCCTCCAAATGTGATTACCGGACGCTGTCACATCGAATGATACTACAACAGATTCTCCAACAGAAGCGGTGATACTTGTTCTTTCGTTTGTTGATATAACCTCCGCTGGAAAAAAAAAATGGTTTATAAATTCTTAGATAATTATTATTTTATCATTATGTTATCATTTTCATTATTATCATTGTTGTTTTTGTTGTTAGGCCTATTAAAAAATAAAACCATGACCTACTTAGTCTGAAACGTGTAATCTGTACATTTATTAAGATAATTAATTTAGACAACATTTTAAGAATATTGTAATTTATATTTACATAATTATGATTGTACCAGCTCATACCTCTAAAGAAAATCCAATATATAATTAAAGGAGATACATTTTAGACCTTTACTAACAGTTGGTAAATATGGTGCTTTCGATAATGGCAACACATGACTACACTATAAGCAGTTAACACTGTCAAACAACCCCCTCCACAGTTACAATGTCGGATATTTTTGTTTACTCCTTTTTATGTTAAACATGTTTTTTTTCTAAGCAGAAACAAAAAAAAAAATCAAAAAAAAAAAAAAAAAAAAAAAAAAAAAAAAAAAAAAAAAAAAAAAAAAAAAAAAAAAAACAAAGAACGAAAACCAAACAACCACAATCATAACTGCTAGTTTAATCCAACTTTTCAAAAATTAGTATTATTAATCTTCTACTTTAATATCCTTTGAGAATCAACATCAGGTGGGTAGTATCAAGGAATAGTTAAATTACTGTTCCCTGGTAGTATGGTCACTCGAAGCCATGCCAAGATCATGGTGTCTTCATCATCTAGATCTTGGAGTCCCAGTTCTCCTTTTGAGTGGTCTAAAGTCAGGGCAGTGGTAGAAGATGTGGTCGATTGTTAGTCAAAATTTAGAAATCGTTTGCGACTGGTGTTACAATAGTCACTGCCTTGAAATTAAGAGTAACACAGGGATACTTACAATTTGAAGCGCCATCTAGATCCACAACTGTAGTTTTCACGGTGGTTTTTTCACCATTAAGTACACCTTCACAGTAATATACTCCAAAGAAGTTTCCATCATAAGGTATAGCTACTTTTTTGGCAAAAGGAGAATATTCACTCTGAACTTCTAGATGTGGTTCAGCAAGCGAGTCAGAATTGGATATTTTAAATACCTTTCCCATGGATATTGTTGTGCTACTATCTGTTGGGTAGCACTGTAGCTCGCCTTTATTGTAAAAAGCTGACCCAACATTAAGAACCGTTAAGTATGGATTGGCAGCACAACCTGTAAGAAAAGTTCAAAAACATAATGTAAAAAGAGAAACAAATTTAACAATCTCTTGTTACTATATTGTATTTTCCGTCTGTGTATGAAGGCTTATTTATGTTCATAGAGGGCATCTTGACAAATGGATTTTTCCCCCTCAGGCCAACATTTAATAAAACGTTTTATAATTGTATTTTTTCATCCCCGACAAATCTCTCCTAACATCTCCGAGTAGTTGATGTTATGCAAAATCATACAAGTGAAACTTTTGTTCGTATATAACATAGCAATTATTTATGGCACACCTATTCATTATTTGTTTTGTTGTACACTTTGTGAGGAAAGTGCCAGGGCATTCGACTGAAGGTTCTTTAGACCGAAAGGCCTTTGGGTCCGAAGAGTCTTGGTCTGAAATCTGTTGGTTTGAGGTTGTAAAGCCCTTTATTTTCGCTGCCCTATATTTTCGCGATTCTACAATGATAATAATAATAATAATAATAATAATAATAATAATAATAATATTATTATTATTATTATTATAATTATTTGAAATTTCGCGACCTTTTATTTTCCCCATTTTACAATTTCCAGTCGTTTTTTAACATGATTCAGAAACCTACCATTATAGTTTTCCCGATTTTAGCAATCTTCTACCCTCCCGATTTTTAGGTTAGCTTAAGCAGACCTACTTGAGCTACTCCAGTCTGCCTGTGTCGAGGCTGGACCAAGGGTTTTATTCAAAGCAACATGTTAGAAATCTTGCAAAAAAGGTAGGCCTAATATTGATACGTTTTATAAAAAGACTGTAATAGTTAAATATCAATCATTTTGATTGATTTTACATGTTCTGGTCTTTAAGGGCCCTGCTCTTGTTGGATTTTGGTCCATGGTCCTGGCAAAATGCAGATAATAATATCCGAGTAGAAATAGCTTAGGTGTTCAAACGCGGAAACTAATTGTGGAATTTTGAATTCAAAGTCACGATGGCACTAGCTTATCTGTAGCGGAGTCTCACACTAAATCATTTAGGTCCGTCACCCGGTTCTTCGGATGGTTTCCCATTCAAGATTGCTTCAAGAATGTATGAAATAAAAAAAAAAAAAACAAACAAACAAATACACTATGTACATTCAGAGGTAGCGCCAGGATTTGCCTGACGGGGATGCGGGGCGAGGTCCCCGACGAGAGGGCCGATACCCCCGACAAGGGGTCAGATTTCCCCCGACGAATGCAATTTGGACGTTGTCGAGCTTCGAATAAAAGGTTTCAAAAGTGGTCCAGGGGGCGAAGGACGTGTCTGTCTTTATCTGTCGTTCTGTCGGGTTGGGTGTCGGGGTGCTGTCTCTCATGCTGCGTGTCTGTTGATTGTTTGCAGGGTTCGCAAAACTATTGAATCGATCATTATAAGATTTAGTGGAGCATAAAAGGTAAGAATGAAATCACATTGCTCAGTGGCGTATCTAGAAGTCTTCAATTGGGGGAGGGTGCTGATGGGGGAAGTGGAGGGCTCGATGATCAGTTGAGGGGTGATTTTTAACTACTTGACCGTGATTTTGGGGGGAGACTGGGGTATTTTTTTAAGGGTGGGAGGGGGGTGTTCGCTACTGCATTGTGTATATTATTGGGTATTCAGGCATGTAGTATTAGGTATTCAGGTATCGGATACCGTTAAATTTGTCTCTAGGAATTTCCATTTATCTAACTCAAATTAAGAATAGGTGCCAGTAGGCATAGGCCTAGACGTCATGGACATAAAGCTATTTTCAGTACTATAGACCTACATCCATTCATCCTTCTTTACCTAAAATTCGTGAGCGTATTGTGTATAATAGGCTTCATACTGTAGCTACTTAGAGAAAAATAAAATTATTCATAATTCACAATACGGTTATTAAAAACAAAGCGCCACATACATGGGAGTTCTTAAATTAATCGATAAGGTTAATGGCGCCATTGATAAAGGGGAGTTACAATATTGGTATATTTGTGGATCTTAGCAAAGCCTTGCTTATTGGTGATCCGCTCTCGTGCGGATCACCTCTTGTTATTGTAATCTCTTCTTATTCTTCTTTCTCCGTATTTTTGTTCGCACGATATTTCAAAAAATGCCACGAGTTACGCACAACCGCTGTCAACAAACATTTGGCTTGGTCTGGAATAGTCATGATCAGCTTTTCAACGCGCTCAGTCATGCGTGACGTCATCTACGCGCAATTTTACGTTTTTACATTATCGATCATATCAGCCTAACCAATTGCCATTTCGAAATTGTATTAAATGAGCATTAACTTCGGGTTAATGTTGAATGTACTGTACCTTAATTTTACGCGTGCGCTACATTTCCCGCGCGTACGCGTGCGTCAAATTTTTAAAATGCTCAAAAGCACTTTTTGACCAAATTAGAGCACGTTTCAGGCCATTTTGAGCATTTCGAAATTTTTTAAAATTTTCCACTACGCGCGTGCATTTTTACGCGCGCAGCACGTACAGAAGCTAGACATTATGTTTTTTCACATAGTTTGGGTTCCTGACATTGTTTTCACAAATTTCCATACTTTTTGGTCATCTTATGGCCAATAGCAATGCAGTACGTGCTCATCAAATATAGGTATCTTTGCGCGGATTTGTGCTGATATTTAGTGAAAATATGCTAAAATCAGGCTTATTTTCAATCAGTTATAGCTCCTTAGAATGGAAGGTGCCCCCAATTTTTATTACATATTCTGAAAGCACATGAGTTGTAAATATAATTTTATAGATCATAATGGCTGATCGGACATTGTGACGTCATCATATTGCCATCTGAATTCAACAAAAGTGATTTTATCGATGACGTCATTTTAAAAAATACGCATTTGAGCGTATCTCGCTTATTCTTGGTCGATCGTCTTCCAATTTTGAGTATTTTATAGCTGAGACAATTCTCTTTCATATATTATATATATACTTCTTTTACATTTTGATGACGTCATCATAGGCAAAACATTCTTTTTTCTAACCCCCACATCTTTCTTTCCTCAAAACGTTGATGAGCCCATATCATCTTAACCATTCGTCATTTCTGAATCATATTAAGTGAACCAAAGATACTAGAAATACAAGATAGAGTTCTCCACACAAAAAAAGTGTTCCACCGTGTTCCACCGAAATGCATGGTGGGAATACGAAAAATTGGACGCCCCCTACAGCTAAATCTAAAAAAACTTGTGCCAAACTTTCGTTACCAAGTCGTCGCGTATTTTATTATCAATTCTCAACAAAGATACTAGATATAAAAACAAACTGAAATAGACACCCAGACAGTGACATCGGTGAATACATAACCTCCTTGGTGGCGGTAGAAATCGTTGCTATTATCCAAATAATACACAAAACAATTAAAGTACAATCATGAATCAGTAAAGAATAAAACAACAATACAGCGCAGAATCGCATGGCCGGACGCACTCTTAGTGAAAAAGTTTTCCTCCATTAGTGGAAAAGGAAGGGCGCCTTTTGCGTCTGGATATACTGAGCAACAGAAGGGCGCCCTGTACGTTGGGCACGAAGTATAGGAAACTTGCATGGTTAAAAAGAAGGGCGCCGCCTACGTTGGGCACGACTTCCGCCTCATTTTTACAATGCGAGAACTCTATCTTGTATTTCTAGTATCTTTGAGTGAACATAATCTTCAGGTCAAGGTTGAATGTCAAGTACCTTAATTTTCCGTTCGCGCGACTTAACGTGCGCGTACGCGTGCGTCAACATTTATATATGCATAAAACCATGAATATTTTTAATCAGTTATAGCTCCTTACGATGAAAGGTGACCCCCAATTTTTATTACATATTCTGACATTGTGACGTCATTTTTTATTTATGACGTTATTACTTTTTATACTCGTTTGAACGTATCTCGCTTATCTTGATTGATTGTCTCCCACCTGTGCGTATGTTATAGCTAAATCAATTCTCTTTCGGACGTGTCCCTTTATTTTTTATTTTGATCACGTCAGCATGGTCAAAAAGAATGAATTTTTAGAGCATTCTTATCTCTTATTCTTAAAAGATGTAAAAAATAGAACACAAGAGGGCGGCAGACTGTATTTCGACGCTATTAGACTTATATATACAGTATAGGTTATACGAAGGGAAAATTCCTGTGGCATTAATAACTAACAGACGGTTTTAAAAACACGACAATATTTAATTTCGTGTGCCATTACTGTACACGCACACATCGTGACGTGTGCGTATGTTAAAATTTCAAAATTCTCAATATCACTATTCAGATAGTTTAAAAGTTTCGGGTCATTTTCTGCATTCCAAAACTTTCCATATTTACGCGCCATACGTTCATTTCCACGCACACAGAACGTACTGAAGCTGGAAATCACGTTTTGTTACATATGTTGTGTTCCTGACACTGTGTTCATATCAGGAGTCACTCTTTGTGCCATTACCGTGCTCACGGGCGTCAAGCCGTACGTGTACGCATGCGTAAATCTTTTAAAATGCTGAAAATTATTCTTTTTTAAAACACTAGTTGTACAGAATATTTTAGCATATTATAAAACTTTTCAATAAAGCACCGCGAGCGCTTTATAAGGGTCAAAATACGGCGGATAGCAAAGCAAAGAATGGTGTGTGGCTTCAAGAAGGAGACATCAACTGAGTTCGGGACAGGGTTACTTTCACAAGTGAATGTGCGCAGAATACCAACCGGCTTGTTCGATGTGGCAGTAGCTTTTGCATTTGCCCAGTGAATTAGGTCTGTTACCGCCGCAGGACTGCAACGAAAATAGCCCTATTCCGAGCCGAGTCCGTATAAGTAACCATTCACTCAGCTATACCACACATATTTATTTAAACATAATAAAAATAAAAGCTTAACGAACTAACTGCTATATTAAATATTGAAACATATTTTTATGTATTTAGGCTACTTTTTGCAACTTTACTATAAAGGACAGCATTATCTAGTATGGAATTAACTGTTCTACCTCTTTTAGTTGTTTTTGCGTTTGAGAATGCAACTA